TTTTTATAAAATTAAAATTTCATGATTTTTAATGTCAAAATGTGAAAAAAATCATAAAAATAATTTTAAAATTTAAAAACTATGAATTTTAGATGTTCAAAATTTTTTTTGAGATATCTAAGACAATAAATGGATAAAAAAATAAGACAAAAAATATTATTCTTCACAAATTGCTTTCGGTTTAAAATTTTTATTTATATTTTTTTGACATTAAAATTTAGATTAACCTTATTTAAAGATTATATTAAAATTTATTAAAAAATTTAATTTTATATAATTAATTTATACAATGAAAATTTTCAAACTATCTATTTATATTTATATTAGCTTGCTAGTCGTGTAATTTATACAACGAAAAAATTCAAACTATCTATTATATTTATTTTATTTAAATTTAAATAAAAGTATAAATTAATATTATTAAATTATTAACATGTTCAAAATATATATAAAATATAAATAATATCATTAAAATATTAAATCATAATAAAAATAAAAATTTTAATTAACAAATTAATAAAACTTTCAAATATATGATAAATAATATTAGAGGAAGAAAAAACATCCGGAATATATTATAAAAAATATTATTAATTATGTCAACAAAATATTAAATATAAACTAAAAGTCTTATCAATTCAAGTGAATTTTATTCGATTTGCATCATCTCTAGCTTCTTTTATCATTTTTGTATACTTGTAAATTTATGTAATTTTAAGATAAGTTTTATTTATTTAAAAGAAAATAATGATTTTAAATGTTTAAATAATATATGTTATAACTTACTTTCATGTGTGTATATATATATATATATATATTTGTAAGAGTTTCAGTAATATCATAATCTTCAGCATTTATCTGGCTTTCAAAATATTTGTTTCTTTCAATTATTTTAAAGTTGACATTTGATACGGAATTATGTTTATGTAAAAATTAAAATAAAATAGTTTTAAATTTTAAATAATAATAATAAATTATAAACAATTATGTATGAAAATAATTAACAACAAGTTTTAATGAAATGTTTTAAATTACTTACCTTTTGTATTTTTTTCAAGTAAATACCGATTATCTTCTGCGTAAAATATCTTATGAACATGTGTAACAGTTAATATTGAAATTTTATGAAAAATGTTGTAATCATTGAGTTCAACTTAAAAATATATGATCAACCTATCAACTCTTCCAATATTTTTTTCATTTTAACATCTCTATCTTCTTGTGAATGAGTTTTATATAAATTTAATTAAATAACATTGATAATCATATAAATTTAGAAAATTATTTTCATTTTAAAGCTCTTTGCCCGTTATTTTCATTTTTTTTTTTATCTAGCAAAGCATACCCCAAATTATATGTATAAAAAATAAAATACCAATCAAGGCTTCAAACAATAAAATATTTATTTATTTATTTATTTAAGCAGCTCATAAGTAATATGATTAAAGATTTATCACTCATTTAACATGAAAAACATAAATTTTATTTTTATTTTTTTGGCATAATGAAACATATAAAATATCTTTTGTAGGTACATGCACGAGAAAAATATATATAATACAAATTTAGATGCATTAATATTTTACAGTTTAATTTAAATTTGTTACAGTAATTAAATAATAATGTTAATTGTAGATAAATTAAAAAAGATAAATTATTTTAAAATTAAATTTAAATTAAGATAAAATAATATACAAGATAAAAAATTTTCATTAGAATTTAAATTAAATTTTTATTAAATTTTAAATTTTTAAATAATTTAATAAATTTTAAATATATTTTTATAAATAATTTAAAATTAATAAATATCTTATTTGTCATTATAATGATAAAATTTAAGATATACTCTACGTGTAAAATAAAATTATTTATGTAAGTGTCCACATTAATAATTACTAACCGATAACAATGTATGTTACAATATAATATATATGATTTAATTTTAATTATTTTTGATAAAAATTTGTCAAGTAGGTCTAAAGAATTCTGCCTACTCGTGTGCGTGGAATTATACGCATTGAGAGTGAATCTAGTTTGCTGCAAGCAACCAATCACATCTCTTCGTATGCTTACCCTTAGATTTTCCCCTTTACTCTTTTTGCAAATCCCAACGACATCGTTTTCTCTTTTTCTTCCTTTTAACTCTCCCTTCATCTGCTCCTCTATCTCCTGGGGGCAGCTTTTTTTTGTCGGCATGTCATTTTGGTCCAAAAGTTTTCGTCTTATTACCAAAATTCCCCATACCATCAGCCAAATAAGCTTTGGTTTGGTTTCCATTATGATCTTTGTTTATAAGCCACAATTATTGCCTTTTGGTTTGTCTTCTAAGCTAAACAATGTTTTTTAATTAGGTTTTTATGTCGTGATAAGAATGAAAAACGCGGGTGTCGGGATCCCAAAAATTCCAAGGGATGATCCTGGCTTTGATTAATTTAATTACTTGTCTAATGTTTTTTCTTAGCCATGAAAACAAACATTACATTTCGAGTGAGAAAAAAATGATTTAAAATTATAATGTTTGATTTGATTTAAATTAATTTTTTATTTAATTTAAATTAAATTCAGATGTTAAATATATATATTATGTTCGAATTGAATTTTCATATAAAAATTAAAAATTTTACAAAAATTGAATTAAATTATATATATTTTTAATTTTTATATATTTTAAAATTTTATAAATTAATTGTTTATACCTAGATGTATTTAAATATATTAAAATAATATATAAAAATAAAAAATAAATTTAAAAGCTACATAATCGAATCAAACCTAAAAAATTTGGTTTAGTTTGATTTGTATTATATGAAAATTTAATTTAAATTTCGATCGAATATTAAAAATTCATAATTTTATATTATTATTCAAAAAATTGATCCAAATTTGATTTAATCTAAACCGTAATCACCCATACTTTAGATATTATAGTGAGGTTTAATTTTTTAATAAGAGTAATCTTTTGTGGAAAAAAATATAATACAAGTATCTATTTTTATTCATCAATCAATAATAATTAATAATTATACAACTAGTCAACATAGAGTGGTTGAATTAATAATAATTGAATATTTCACTTATAAAATTTAAATTTAAATTTTGTTATTAATAATGGACCAATAATGACCTATATGTCCAATATAAGTCTTCACACAAAAATCTACAATTGTCTTAATCTTGGAATAAAATACATAGACTAACTTTACAACTACAATGTAATTAAATTTCAATTAATAAATAAAAAAATAAAACTCCAATACTATTTTAACTCATTCAATTATTGAATCTTCTATCAAATGAGTTGATCTATTCAAAAGAAACTTCAATTAAGTTTGAACTTTCTTCCCCTATGAAATTTGAATGCATATAAAGTATACAACTCGAACTTGATAGCAATATAAATTGCATAAAATTGTCAAATGTACCTACTTCCTATTAATCTCTATTTATTAACTATATGATGGAGTCAATTTAAATTAATTTATATCCTTTATGTCAACCAATAAAAAGAAAAAAAAAAAACTAAGTTTGGGAATTGCAGCTACATGGGTCCATATTACCAAAATTATATAATTGCCTTACCTTACAAATTACTAAATATTAACCATCATCAACCCTCCAAATTTTGCTTCATTACTTTTTTTTGGGGGTCCAATTGCCACACCATTAAGTATATTTTTCAAAATTTTATACAATCAAAAAGAAAATAACCATTGATTTTATGGACGGATACAAAAAAATTGATCGTATTCTTTGATGGTCAACGAATTGAAAATGATCGAGAAAATTTTGATAAAATTTTCATGAAAAACCAAGCATATGGTATACCTTTATTTTTTCATAGTAGGTATTGTTTGGAAATTGGAAGGGTTTCTAGAGTAAAGACAATTAAGATAAGATTTTTGGTTTTTGAATTTACCTTACTTATAATTGAATTTTAAGCCTACATTTAATTTTTAGTGTTTTGACTTGACAAACCTAATCAACCTAAATTGTACTAAACCATTTCTTTGTTTCTTTAAGCCATGTTAGACAATGTCACCACAACTAAATTAATGATAAAATCATCAAATGTTAATCATATTTATTTTTTTAATGTAAAAAATTTGGGTTTGCAAATCATCAAATGTTAATCATATTTATTTTTTAAAATATAAACAAAATATTGGGTTTGAGATTCAAGCTTGTGGAAGAAATTGGAAAAAAAAGATGACAGAGAGAGAGAGCCCATATTCCTTATATATCCATTGATTTCTATCAATTTATTTAAGACATTCCATATATATATACATCTTATATATATATATATATAAAAGATATTTTATATATATTTTATGAGAAATTATTTTTGATAATAAAATTTTTAAATTTTATAAATAAAGTTGGTAAAGTGACATATATTTCTTATAATATATTAAAAAAATTAATAAAAAAATTATATTAATTTTTAAACTTCACTTATGAAATTAAAAAATTTAATTAACATTATATAAAAAACTAACTCATATTGTATTTAAAAATTATTTGATTTTGAATATAGAAAAAGACTAAAAATATTATAGATTGAGTTTTGAGATTTTTTATTAAATTATATGTAAAAATAAAAATTATAATTATAATAAATTTTTAATATATATTAAGAAAATACCAATAAACAAAATATTAAATTAATAAAAAAAATCACTACAATAGAATAAAACACATTGGAGTTAAAACATTTGACTTTGGCCAGACAGTACTTGAAATGGCAGAAGTTCAACCCTGTACACAACTAACCTAATTTGCATATTTCAAAAGATTATTAAAACTTATGAAGATAATGATGCAATAATAAGAAACTAAAGGGGTCAAAACATAAATAAAGAAAAGTAGAGAACCATGGAGTTCTAAACTAAACATTAGTTAGAAGAAAAAGACAAGAACAGTGATATGGGCACCTACTGCTTTGCCTTTCACATTTAAAAATACAAATAAATAAATAAATAAATAATCAGAGAATAGAATATGGGTCATATTATATGGTGGATATTGCAGCAATCGAAAAACCAGAGGTTCCATACTGAAGAATGAGAGAGACAGCAAAGGGGATTGACAGAGATGGTGATGAAAGAGGAGGTTTAAGGGAGGGTTTTAGGTCCACCAACTGGTAGTTAGAGATAGAACTCCTTAACCAAACATATATCCTCTAACAACACCCAAAGAAGAAGAAGAAGAAGAAGAAACAAAACAAAGAAAGCATTACTGGAAGAATTTGAAAGAAGAAGCAAAGAGAGAGAGAAGGAGGTCAGGTCACAAGTAGTACCAACTACTACAACTGGGTTTCAAAGCAAGAGCCTCAAAAAGCAAAAAGTTGTTTTTTTTTTCTTCCTCTTTTATCTCCAAAAAGAAGAAACTATGTTTTTTAAAAAGACATAAGCAGTTAGAAGAGAAAAAGCTGTCATCTTTTGAAAGGAGAGGGCAAGAGAGGTTTTGGGTTCAAGTTTGTGTGTGAATCTCTCACGTGGGTTTTGATGGAAATGATGGATAGAGAATATATGATTGGTAAAAAAGAGCAAAAAAAGTGATATAATTCATTCATTGCTCTTTTGTCTACCTTTGCTTCCCCCCCTCTCTCTATCTCTTTGAGTTAGAATTATTATTATCATTACCTTTTTATTTGGAAGAACAAACTAAAAAAAGATTTTTTTTTTCAGTTTGGGTTTATTTTGTTTTATATTTTTATTGTGGTGTATGCAAAAATTTCGATGAAAAGTGAAGTGTTGGGGTGTTGTTGTTGTTCTGGGTTCTTGGGATCACAAAGTGTTTGGTTTCTTAAGGATTTTTGTTATCATCAGCGGATCAGGTGGTGTCTTTGAGAATTCCTGCTCCCCACAACTCCCACAACTGTTGCTGGTTTCCAGGTATTTTTTATTCATATTTATATAATTTTTTACTTTATTTTCATTTTCTTAACCCAAGAGATGTAGATATTGTCTTTTAAATTTTGTTTCTTCTCTTTTTCGAAGTTTCTCTCTCCACTTATCTTTCTCTTTTCTCTTTTGTGCCTGGACAAGATGAACATCATAAGTAAAAAAAAATTTTTATTGGGATTTACAGATTTTAGGTTTGTCTTGTTTCTTTGGTTCTTTTTTGTTTTCATTCTCTTTCCTTGTTGGCTGTTTGATAAATAATTGATGGCTCTAACTTGACCTTCTCCTTCTTTTTCTTCCTTAGTTATCTTTTTTATCATGTTTCCCCAGGTTTGAATTTTGTATTTAATCTTCATGGGATTTTTTAAGTGCTTGTAGATTTCTCATAGTTGCTGGCTTGTGCTGGCTTGTTTTTTATCTATAAAATTTTCTATCTCAGAAACTATGATGAGCTCATGCATACGGAATAGACTATGTATGTTTGATTCTTCTGTAGTCTTTTGTTTAAAGTTTTCATTGTTGTTTGCTGCAGACTATTCAAGTTTTAAACTCCTTAGTTCAAAGCTTCTATTTATAATAGAAAGTTAGAAACTGATAATTATAGATTGTCAAGCTGCTGAGCCTTTGTTGACAAACTCGGATAACAATTATAAAATAGTATGAATCATTCTATTCTTTTATATAAGTTCTGAGGTTATATGTTTGGTTGAGAGTAAGATGTGCATATCAGATTTTTCTGCTGTAGTTTTGAATTCTATATATCTCTATTTTCTAAATGTGCTCAAAGTTGTTTATAATGGAAGTCATTTCAATTGCCAATTTTCAGTTCATAGCATGACTATGTAATCTGACTTGAACGGGGGGGCTGGAAAGTTTCAAGATTGTGAGAAATATGGCTACTTATTACTCTGGTTCTAATAATCAAAGAGATACCGCTCCAATGATCTATTTAAGAGAATCGATTCCTGGGTCATATCCAGATGCGTCAGTTCTTTCCGGTAATACAATGATGTATATGAATTCCGGGTCATATTCAGATGCATTTGCTGGGAATTCACACCAGCAAAACAACTGCATTGAGATTCAGGCTGTCGAAGCTTCGAATTCAACTTCACAGCAGCAAGAAATCTTGTCAAACCTTGGTGGCTCACGAGTTGGGGAGCATGATTTTAGTGCTTGGAGGGATGGTAGAAATGAAATGCTAGTTATGCATCCAATGGGTGGTACTGCCAGTATCATTCATAGTGGTCAAAACTTGCAAGGTCAAGGATTATCCTTAAGTCTTGGTACCCAACTTCCCTCTGGAATTCAAATGACTTCTATCCCCTTCCGAAATCCCAATTCAGGTTTTGCTTCATTCTTGAGTCCTAATCCATCACTTACTGGAGAGGGTGGCAACAGGAATAGCTCGTCTAGAGATGAACAGCCACGAATTGGTGAATATCTGCCACCTGGTTTTTCTGGAGGCAATCAAGAGTCAAATAAAGGGGATTTATCTGCATATGGAGTGTCAAGTGTCGCAAGAACTTTTGCTAATTCCAAATATCTCAAGGCAGCACAACAACTGCTTGATGAAGTTGTTAATGTTCGGAAGGCATTAAAGCAGCCTGATGGAGAGAAAAACCAAAGCTCACAAGACAACCGGATGAAGAGTTCCAAGGAAGATGGTGGGGGATCAAAGAATGTGCCTTCAAACCAGCAAGAATCCTCCAATAACTCTCGAAACGAGCTTTCACATGCTGAAAGACAAGAACTTCAAAGCAAGTTAACAAAGCTGTTGTCCATGTTGGATGAGGTAAGAGTCAGATCACTAGATTATATATTTTTCCCATCTCTTGCCGAGGAAAACACATTCTTTTGCATTTTTCTTGCACTTACACTGCAAAATGAATTATATTTGATGTAATGTCTGGCAGTTTCCTATTGCAGTCACTTTCTTTATTAGTTTGTGATAGAATTTATAGAACTACAATTCTCTAAAGTTGAGATTAGAAAAATTTTCAATTGGATTAGTTGAAGTGCACAAACTCTTCCTCTCTCCCGTCGCTTAATGTGTGTGTGTGCACACACTTACATGTGCCTGAATTTAGGCGCATTCTGGTCTCCATCTTATGTAAGATTACAAATTTCCACATGTGGAAAAACTAAGAAATAAAATTGTGTGAAAAACAAAGAATAAAACTGAATGTATATTGAAAAACTACTCATAAAGAGTTATACTAGCACCTTAGGTTTATATACAGTTAATTAGTGGGTAAACTAGGAAACTAAATCTTCCTAAAAGTTGATCCTATAATTAAGGGACTGTCTATCGTAATTTTTTGTTGTTAATTCTAGGAATACAAATATAAATATACAAATTATAAGATTACAATTAGCTGTAAATAATTGTTTTTCTGCACTCCCCCTCAAGTTGGTAAATAGGTGTTTTTCATTCTCAGCTTGGAAATAATTTCTTGAAATGTTTTACTACTGAGACCTTTAGTCAACACATCCGTAAGTTGACTTTTGGTTGATACATACGGTGTACAAATCAACCCACTATCTAGTTTCTCTTTTATAAAATGTTGGTTTATTTCAATGTGTTTTGTTCTGTCATGTTGCACAGGATTGTGTGCAATGCTTATTGCAGACTTGTTATCGCAATAGAGTCTCATTGGTCTATCCCACTCGATCTTCAAGTCTTCTAGGATAATTTTTAACCATAGTAGTTCACAAATTCCTTGAGCCATTGCTTTGAACTTTGCTTCAGCACTTGATCTTGTCATCACATTTTGTTTTTTACTCCTCCAAGTCATAAGATTACCACCTAGGAAAATGCAGTAGCCTGATGTGGATCTTCTATCAGTTACTGAACCTGCATAATCACAATAAAAGGATAAAAAGTCACTTTGCAATTCATATCTTTGTTAAATTTTTGTGTAGATATCACATTAATAGACAATCTAGGAACATAATGAACATTTTAAAGAATAAACGAGGGATTAATTTGAATATCTTCTAATCCTACTACTATAGCAGGTGAACCATCTATAACAACAATTTTTTATTACTAAGACACGTGGTATATGTACTAAATTTCTGTGAGGAATGTGTTATATGGTCTGTGGCTCCTAACTCAATGACCCAAGAACTCATAACAGGCTTAACGGAGACATTTAATCCATGAAAACCAGAAGTTTTGCCTAAACTAGAGACCTTACCCAAGGAACATACCCCAGTAGGCTTTTCAAGAGTTTTCAATAGGCTTCTCAGCTTCTCAATCTTTTCTCTGTTCCAACTCTCCTTGGTTTCCGAGACATTTGTAGTATTCCGGTGATTTTCCTAGTTGACATTTCTCAAATTAGTTGGTAGTGATATCTTTATTTGAATTGAAACAAGTCCTAAAATATAACCAGAAATGATTCTTAGCAATGAAGGCTAAAGAGGGAAAAATAAAATGGCTATGAAGGCCTTAATAGGGTTCAGCAATGAAGGCCTAAAATAAAAGTCAACAATGAAGGCCGAAAATTTTGCTTTCCAAGAAGAGCTTAAAGCTTTGATATCATGTGGAAAAAACTAAAAAATAAAATTGTGTGAAAAACTAAGAGTAAAACTGAATGTATATTGAAAAACTGTTCATAAAAAATTATATAAGCACCTTAGGTTTATATATAACTAACTAGTGGGATTGTCTATCATAATTTTTTTACCTTAATTCTAGGGATACAAATATAAATATATAGATTACAAGATTACAATCAACTGTAAATAAATATTTCGTGTCAAGCCTAAAACTTTTTATCAAACTTATTGGGGTTCAAGGGAGAAAAATCCCATGTAACCTTCTTCCTTTTTATTTCGTGGGGAACACTGGGGTGAGATTTGTCTTTTCTGTTATGATATTAATAAACTGAGAAATCCAACTTATATTTTGGATGGTTATAGTTGCTGAAGACATACTGACTTCTTACTAATCTCCACTTCAACTCCTACATTTTATGTAAGCTTTTAAGAAAAGCTATTGCAACTGGAGGCCTAGGAGCTATTGGATTTTTTTCATTCTGGTTTTCTAAAGAAGCTTTGATAAGTAGAACTTTGTTCTTTTCTGTTGTTTGATTGATTGGTGTAACTAAAATGACATAGGTATCTATCTTCTTTGCTATAGAAAGTTTCTTTTATGAATGTTGTTATGTCAATTGGTTCTTGTGATTAAATTATTAGCATCTCATGCGGCATCATCCTTCTTCTTGTTAATGTATGCGCACAATTCTCTCCCCTATGATGGAAACAAATTCATGTGTAAAGATAAAGGGCTCTTGGAAGGTGAACATGTTAGGCCTATTCTCTTGGTTATATAAATACTGCTTTATTTTGTTTATTTTCTGATTGTGTCTGATGTTGAATATTTGTTGCTTCAGGTTGATAGAAGGTATAAACAGTATTATCATCAGATGCAGATTGTAGTATCATCATTTGATGTGATAGCAGGGTGTGGAGCTGCTAAGCCTTACACAGCACTTGCACTACAGACTATATCCCGCCACTTTCGATGCTTGCAAGATGCAATTAATGGTCAAATTCAGGCAACACGTAGAAGTCTTGGAGAGCAGGATACTTCGGAAAACAGTAAAGCAGTAGGAATTACTCGTCTGCGTTATGTGGATCAGCAGCTGAGGCAACAGAGAGCTCTTCAGCAGCTTGGTATGATGCACCAACATGCATGGAGGCCTCAGAGAGGGCTGCCTGAAAGCTCTGTTTCAATACTTCGTGCTTGGCTGTTTGAGCATTTTCTACATCCGTAAGTTTGACATGACGCTCCCTCGTTACTAATTTCTCAAACCTTACTCTTCTAAAAAATCTCAATACCTCAGTCGTACTTACTGATGTTTCTGTTGTGCTGCAGTTACCCAAAGGATTCTGATAAGATCATGCTAGCAAGGCAGACGGGCTTGACTAGAAGTCAGGTAATCATCTTTACTAACATATGATAAAGCAGATTGCTAAACTGGCTGGGAAAGTGTTATTAAGGTTATAAAGATTAAAATTAGTAGTGGAAGCAGTAGCTAAAAATGCTGGGTATATGGTAGAAGTAGGTTCTAATAAGTAGGAATAAAGCAACCTCATTTGCAAAACATGGGCTTTAATTCTTCCAAATGGGAGAACAGTCAATAGTATTTTATTTTACATGTTCGGTCCAGCAGAATAGCTGTGAGTAATTCATTAGCCTCTTAATCCTCAGCGCATGCTCTATTTGCAAGTTACTAATGGCTAGAATTAATAAATTTATGTTGTGTCGTCCTACTTGAGTTTTTAGTATTGATCAGTGTGTGGCAGCATCTCTATGGATAATTATGTAAATGATGACATCATTTATATATGTATCATTATTGTTGCCTTGATGACATAGTTGCATCTGCTCAGGTTTCCAATTGGTTTATTAATGCACGGGTGCGTCTCTGGAAGCCTATGGTTGAAGAGATGTACAAGGAAGAATTTGCGGATGCAGAAATGGACTCTAATTCATCATCTGAAAATGCAGTCAAAGCAACAAAAGGTGATACAAGGACCTCTGAGGACAGAGGTGAAGATCTGCAACAAAGTGGGAGTTCATCAGCTGTAGAGAGATGTAGCACTGGACAGTTGATGGATTCCAAATCCGACTGTGTACCTGATGTAGATATGGCAGGATCAACCACTGGAGTGGGTTTGCAAACTGTCACTCATGGAGAAGCTGAAACTGAATATGTGTTACTGAAGCTAAGGGAGCAACAGAGGTCTAATGTCGATGACTCTAATCTCTTCCCTGACGCAATTGCTCATCCTGATGGCGGTAGTGCTAGGTTTATGGCAGCTGCTGCTGCTTACCACATGTCAGAATTGGGGAGGTTTGGAAGTGGAAGTGGAAGTGGAAGTGGAAGTGGTGTCTCTCTCACTCTGGGTTTGCAGCATTGTGAGGGTGGTAGTATACCTATGTCAGGTGGAGTCCATCAAAATTTTGTTACAATGAGAGGGGATGACATATACAATCCTGCAGCATCTTCTGTACCAGCTGAATCAGCAGATTTTGAATGCATAAATCCTGGTAACCGGCAGCACAGGTTCAGTTCCTCTCATTTGTTACATGATTTTGTAGCATGAACTGTACTTGACTGCAGATTTGCATTGATTAATCTTCATATTATTCTCATATGGAGAGAAGAAACCGGAGAGCGGGAGCCAGATTCTCAACTCCTCCGAAAAATCTTCTTGCTTGCCAAGGTATTGGGAAGATTAATCCTCTGAATATGGAAAAGTATAAAACACAGTTGTAATATATCAAGAAATTGATTGGAGGGTCAGCATATTTGTAAAGATACATAATTTTTGTTTAATATGTGAAGGGAAAATGTACAATTAGTTGCAGCTTCAGTGTTGAAGATAAAACACTCCTGATTTGAAATAAAGGTAGGAATTGGCTTGTTCTATCCGGCTGGACACGATGATTTTGACTCTGCTAACTGAACAAATATATCAAATTAACAGTCAATTTGTCACTTACCATGGAATATAGTCTAATGGCTATCCTGGTTCACTACTTTTTCTACTTTTTTGTTAAAATTTGAAAATGAGCAAACAATCAAACCTTCAGCATTTTCAGAAACTTCGCATGGATTTTGGATACCTAACTTGCTACTAAGGAAATTGACAATTCTTAGGACTTCTTTTGTGGCTGCATCTTCTTTCACTGATTACTGAACCGACCACCGTTGAGACTTCTATAAAAGATTCAGCCCGTTATTGTATACGGGATGAATATAAATCATACTGTGTTACTTCGGTATTGATTTTGCTAATAAACAACCCTTGTGATCGGACAGATCACAGTTACATTTGTCTTTGTTTCCCTATCAGAAATATTATTTTCAGAAAACACTTCCTGTTTTGGAAAAATCGAAATTACGGTTTTGTATTTGAAAAAAATTATCTGATATACTATCACCAGCGGAATTTTAAACTAAAATTTATGGAAAGAATTAGAAAGCTACAACATATTTTCGAGAATCATGAGACAATCTAATTTCTAATTTTTATATATTGCTGCTTAGAAGTTGGAAGATTATATCGAACACGAAATGACAAAAGCTAAAAGGACGTTATATGAGATGGTTCTGGCTGGGTTACTCGAAGAAACCTGGCTACAACATCAGCTAGAAGCTTTTGGCAAGGAAATAGCCCAATTCTCTTTTTTTTTTCTTTTTTTTTTTGCCTATGTCAGCCTCGGCCCTTGGTCCTAGCATCTACCTGAAAAATATGGAGAACAGAAATTGGAATGCATGAACCAAGAGAAAATAAAATGAAATGGGGTTGAATAAAAGGACTTACCTTTTGTACAGAACCCTAACATCTTCCCTTAACAAGGGACTTTCCAAAAACAGATCATCGCACTCATTCACATTAACAGTCTCCATATCAAAATATCGGTTACCACAATACTTGTTCCACTCAAACCACATCTTTGCAATTAATTCCTTCTTGAAACAAGTAGAATGATCCTCCTCTTCGGGAGAATCACCTGCAATCAATCTGTATGCATACACTTTCTTCTTTTGGCCGGGGCGAAATGCGCGGCCTATTGCTTGCCGGGTCACAGATGGATTAAGATGAACATCCAAGATTATAATTCGGGATGCCCCTACCAAAGAAATTCCCTCTCCACAAGCCTTAATAGATCCAAAGAACACTTTAGCATCGGGAGAGTTGTTGAAGCGTTCCATAGACCACTCTCGATGATCGGTACTTGATTCACCTGAGATTGAGAAAATCTGAATTCCTGGATACCAACCCTTCATTTTCACAGACAATCTCTCTAAAAACTTCAAGGGTATGAGATACTGACTAAAAACAAGGAGCTTCTCACCAGATGACTCACATAAATTTAACAGATTAAGAAAAAATTTTGCTTTGACTCCCTCTTTGACGTCTAGTTTTTCTAACAAGTCATCCATTTTAGCATCTGTTGTGACAGAATTCTCGGAGAAGGAATTCAGCTTTGGATGTAAATAAACAGCACTACCAACAGATGAAATCTTGAACTTCCTTTGAAACCTTTTTAACTTCTGAACTTCAACCTTCTGTCTGGGACTAAGACTAAGTACTAAAGTGAAATCAACAAGTCCAGGAAGCTCATCCAAGAAATCTCCTTTATAGTAATGAAGGACTTTGCTAGTCATCTCACGTAAATCATGTATGACTGAGACTTTCCTCTCAAAATTTTCATCCTTCTGCAGTGTGTGCTCCACCAAATCATAAAAGACTGCATCTGCTCCAGATTTGACCTGCTTCCTCACTCCTGATATATGCACTTTGCTCATTATCCGTTTGATAACTGCTTTGGAAGTGTCCAACCTAAGAAACTTTGGTCGAACAAGGTTCAGTATGTTAAATACCTCTTTGACATGATTTTGATAGAGAGTTCCAGAAAGCACAACTTTTCGAGTTGTTTGAACTTTTGCAAGGGATTGCAACACATCGGTGTTCTCGTTCCTTGGTGTGTGCCCTTCATCCAAAATTAGAATTGAAGGTGCTCTAAGCAGTATCTCTTGGCAAGAAATAGAAGTCTGGCTGGTTCCACCATCACAAATTATGGTAGAGAACTGCTTGTATCCCAGAAAAAGGATACTTCGGCGCTCAACCCACTGCTTCAACACCTCCAATTGCTGAGACCTATTATCCGCTTTCACAGTATAAAAATCAAGCAGTGGAATATCCTCTACTTGCCACGTTTCAAACTCCTTTTTCCATGTAGCCAAGATTCCTTTTGGAAGCACAACTAGTGGTTTAGCATGTGGATATTTGGCTAGGAAACTTTGCATGAAGCTGATTATCATAAATGTCTTTCCAGATCCGGGAGCATGGGCCAAGATGCAGCCCCCAGGATGATCTGCCACCAAATTGCTTAGAAGAAAATTAAAGCCCTCTATTTGATGAGGTTTCATTTGCTTCATATGCCTTGGATGAGCAGTTATGTCAGTTATTGTTAAATCATCTTCAGAAAACTTAACTCCAACAGTTTCAGTTGAATCTCTGTTTTTTGCATTCCGTGGCTCTGATGCATAAGTATTTGTACTCTTTTTGGCCTTGATAGATAAAAGGAAAAAGAATCAGACAATGAAAGTTCCAGCCAGGAAATGAAGATAAGGCCTAATAGTTGAATTTAGCCCAACCTGAACATATAAGCAAGTATTTGAAAAAAAAAATCGAAAAACAATAAATCAACCTTGTTATTAATGCTTATAACAACATAGCTGCCGTAAACAATAAATCAACCTAAATATGAATTTGAGCATCCATTGATAAAATGAAAACTAAATGGGCAACAAAAGGCAACCTCACATGAGACAAAAGAATCAAAATACCAGAGTTTGGCCTCATTTCCACCGCAACTAATAGACACAAGTTGACCTTACAATACCAGGTCTACCAAGTGTAACTTGGATAAAGATCCCAGCTACAGACTGGTCTTCACAATAAAACACACTATCTCAGCCAAAGTATTCAAAGAAGCAAGCCATTCACTTCTGAAAAAGCTTCAAGGATCACTTCAAGGTGATAGGCTGATAGCACGGAAAACTGAGCCAGGTTGCCACATTGTTGGCTCATCTAATACAACAATAAAATTCATGACATTTTGAAAATCAATAAAATGTTACCAAAAAAAAAATAGAAAGAGAACCATACTAAACAGCCCATGCTATCTTTAGTCCAAGCATTCTATACTTCAACTTTGGTTGACCATTTGGCTTTTCTCCAAGCTAAGCTCAATAAAACTTGAAACATTTTGTTGGTGATACTGGGCTAAGTTTTACAGGGAAAACTCTTGGCCAGCTGATGAAATCACTAAAGCAAGTGAAACAAATGCACAACTAAATTGGCACATCCAGGATGAGCTATAGCTGGTTCTACCTTAATGTTTAATATTGGTGTAAGCTACATTAAAATCTGCTTTCATTACTAAAGCTTCATTTTTTGGATACTTTTACTATTTGCTATATGTCTTTTGGCAAAAATTAATAGAAAGCAAAACAAAAAATATAAAACAAATAGTAAACTCAAGGCAAATAGCAAAAGCATCAACCAAACGAAACCTAAATAGACTCAATGCATATCTTCTTCTGAATGTGTAAGCATGTATGTCTGCATTTTGGATGTAGCTTGGGAAAAAGCACTGAAGGTGCAGGCGGAGAAGGTTACTCCTTTGGCAAATTTTGCCTGACAACAGGCCCTCTATGAAGTAAAATATACAGACTTCCTTCAATTAAGTTCAACCTACTGACTACTGACTATACCTGGCTCGAAAATTCCAAATTTTTATGCCAAGGTCAAGCATATAAAGCTAGAATGGAATCAGAGATATTTAAAAACTAATTTGTAACATGATGTTGGACAATCATACAGCTCAATAGCATAAGATTGACTTACCCTGTTATATTGGATGTCAATTATAGTCTCAATTCCTCTCTCGATAACCCCACAAATGCGACACACATAACCAAGATCATCCTTCAAGAGAAAAGAATGATCACAGTCCTCATCTTCTGACACGAGTTCACTCGAAGGATCCTCAAAAGCGTCCTACCAAAGGCAGCATAAGTCATAATGAACATTGGAGATACTTGCTAGGGGATAATTAATTGCCTGCAGATGGTGAGAAGCATGTAGCAGATCCAACATAATCTGCCCCTAAAATAATAGAAGCAACAGTGCAAATAGTTGTTTCTTAATGACACAACCAGAAATAGTGAGGACAATTTTACATCATAAAGAACAAGACCAAGATGTTTAGAATCAGATCATAGTGTATGTAGGTAACTCAAAAGGAAATTAAAGAAAAATAAAACAATCTTTCATGTCTATGTATGCTAGTAAATAATATCAAGTGTGAGTAAAGTTACATCATGTACAAATTTCATTTAGCAAAATCATCTGGTTATGAACCCTTTGCTCTTATATGTTTTGTTCCATATGGTCTTTTTTTCCACACCATCTTTCAACCTAAATGCAAAAGAACCAATACGGTCTGAATACGACCAAAGACCAAACTAACAAAAGATCAAAACACAAAACCCAAAGCCAAGAGCACTTAGTTGTCTCCGTAGCTTCAAAACAAAAAATTAAAAGAAACTACATCAGATGTTTGCACAATTTTTAACCCAATACAGAGAATAATAAGAGTTGACAAATCTAGACACAATTTATTTCTATAAAAGGCACACATATTTCTTTTTCAAAAGAAAGTCAAGAACTACTAATAATAAAGACAAAGGATATCCACCAATTACATTTTAAGAGCAGTGTAAAATACCTTGGAGAACTCTAATGCCATTGACATCTCCTGCCATATATCTCCCAAACCATCATCTTCAGTCTCACTTTGAGTATCAACATACTCTTCAACACCAACATAAACACCTTTGTCCTTCTTGATATCAGTTTCACTGGTTAGACTAACTTTTTCTTCTCTATAAATTCTGTTTCCCATAGACTCCCCAACCTTCATCAATCACACCAATTAAATTACTATTGCATAAAAATAAAAATAAAAACGAAACATACAATTTAGAGTTTCAAGACCAGTACCACATTACTCAAAATACACTCAAGTACACACAAGAGAGATTACGTTATAATTTTACACTCAAGATACCCACAATCAACATTTATATGATAGTTACATTGTATGCAGCTTGTAAATAAATTAGGAGAAAAGGCTGAACATAGATAAAGACATATTTATGTGACACTTACTAGTGGACTGTGAATTTCTCTGAACAAAGATAAAGTTTGATCATGGTCGATTGAGATCCTATGGCTTTCCTCATTGTTTGATTCTCATTCATATATTTTTTGTGTACAAAAAGTTACTCATTATACAATAGGATTGAAACGGAATATATTTAGTTTCTCACCTTGACATCACATCCACAACTTCTCAAGTAAATAATATTTAAAATTTTCTCCCACATCACCCATTTGACCGTTTTAGCATTCAGAAGAAGTGATGCAAGAAACATTAGAACATTAGTTTTTAAACTTCATTTCATTTGCTTCAACTGAAACCATGCCATTTCTGATGAGAGATGGGAAGAAAACTTCATTGTTGTCAGAGTGGGAAAGATTAGGAACTTAATCTCTCTCATAACCACACATAAAAATACACACAGATGATTTAAAATTTTGTACATGAGCACTAGTGTAAGATTCCATGGCTATGTGTCAAAGGCTAATCATTAAAACTCACACTTAAAAAGCCTGGAGAGAAACTTCAGATGACTAAGAGCTACTGTAAATATTCGGATGCTGTTTTTTTACCTCTTTTTTGATGGATATATGCGGGTGAAATTAAATTATACACATAGGAAATTATACATGACAGATCTAAGATATTAACTTTGATCCACAAAAATTGTGAAATGAAAAAAGAAGTTTTTTTTCTAAAAATTTAAAATTATTTTATAAAACTAATATATGATAAATTCAATATTCTCAGTTCATTATCTTTGCTTTGACTTTTACATACCTATCTCTTATCCTCAAACACACAACTAAAAATCTAAATGTTCACAAGAACATACCATTATCTCCTTCGAAAGTAATACCCCACATGGCTTCCGCAATACAATTTCCTGAACAGGATGAAGATGCCTCGTATTTCTGTTGTCTTCATCATCTGAATCCAGAATCACTACAGGTGATGATGATGTGATGCCATTTCCAAGCGAGTCATCGTCCAAGTCGATAAAATTATTCCGTGACAAATGGGCAAGTTGTCGACTTGGCACTTTTGAAGCCTCTTTCCTTGGGCTCTTTTCCACATCCACTAACACATTAGAAAGACAAGGATGCAAAGCTAGTACCTTGCTAATCAATTGCGCATTCCTAGAAATAAGGGCTTCTAAATCCTTTGTAACACTTCCATATTTACCACCAACATTAAGGGTTTGAAGCATATTAGTCACTGCAAATGGGTCAGAATAATCGATAACATTTGGAGAGACCTTAGGTTTCTTCTTCTCAGTTTCATCCTGAGGATTTCCAGCAGAGGCAATGCTATCATAATCTTTTGAATCATTTGAAATTTTTGTCCTTTTACAACCTATAGAATAAAACTCAGTAAACAATCACAAAGAAGAAAAACAATATTATCAGAAGACAATAAATTGGAAAAAACCAGAAACAAAATCCAAAAACTTAGGTCAAAATTAACCCCTTTTTTTTCTCAATTATATATTTTAGCCGTTTATACAATTAGAAGAAACAAATTACAAATTCAAAAAGCAATTTGACATTGCAGGCAAACAGATAAACAGAACAAGAATGTTCAAGTTTAACGGAATGCAGACAGTGAAAAACAAAAACAAAATGAAAAATGAATATCATATCCCAATAGATTAAAATGTAGCATCAAAATAATTTTTAAAAAAATGCATGTAAACTATCGATGAACCTCGGCAATTAAATATGTGAAAATACCGTTTGAGATTCCGTAATCTGTCGGCAAAACTGGCGGGCGAGGCTCCATTCGATCATTGAATTGAAATAAATGCTGCTTCTGCTAATAATAATAATAATAATAATAATAATGAAAAATTTAAAAAAAAAAAAACATAAGCAAAATGTTGAAAATCAGAGTTTGGAGCCCTAAATTAAGCAAAATAGAGAAGAGATTAAAATCGATTGTCTCACACTTTTCGCTGCTCAAAGCGAAGAAATGAAGAAAAATGAAAATAACGCTCGCTTCCAGTTTCACTCTTTTCCTGCTTCCCTCTCTGCCTCAACAGCCAACCGAGAGAGAGAGAGAGTGTGTGCTTTAGAGAAGCAGACTGCTGCCAAGTTTTGAAGACACTATTTTTTTGGTATGGAAGGGGTGGAATTGTGTGTATCAGTCTTGGAGATAGAAAGTGTGTTAATGTACAGGTGGCGTGAAATGAATAGATGCTGTTGTTATGTGTAATGACGTGGACCAATACGAAAGAACCATATGTGATTGTGAGCCTATAAACGAAAAGTACCATGTGAGCGTTGATAGTATTAACGCGGCGAATAAAATTACACACAATATTATTAATTTATTTAAATCACGCGTTGGATAGTGTGCAAGGCTCGGCCCAAGGCCACGAATGCATGCCACCGGGCAGATTGTTTCACTCCTGAAATACTAAGCTCCGGCGCTGGAGCGAGATAATCCAGTGCCGGTTTTTATCTTTTTCCCCTCATTTCCTAATAAAAAATAATTCTTTCGCTCACTTGATTTTAAGATTATAATTTTTTTTTAATTCTTAATCTATCTTTAAATCATTGTTGTCATAACATTTAAATATGATGATCTATAGTTAGATATTGATTTAAAGAATTGTTACTAATATTTTTTGTTTATGTATGATTGGTCACCTAAAAAATTTATCATTTTAATGAACACCTAAACTTAAGGGTACCTAAACTTAAGAGTATCTAAAAGAATAAGTTCAAGTCTATTAACCAGAATAAGGTTTCGGAGTATGGTTATATATGAGAAAAATTATAGCACCCTCACAACGCCCATCCAAAAAATGGTATCAGCTTAATTTTGTGTTAACCAATAAGCTTTAAAAATTTTATCAAGTAATTAATTATTGAAAATTATTCTTAATTAACTCCAATACTTTTAGTAAAAAATTAAAAAAAAATTCTCACCTCAAGAGTATACAAGGATACTATTGTTTCATTTGCAGAGGCTCCATCGTCGGATTATTTACCATAAAAAAATCAAAAAAAAAAAAGAAAAAAGAATGGTGATTCAACTTTTGATATAAATCCATTTTTTCAAAAAAAAAAGAAAGTTTTTATTTTAAGGAAAATTGATACTTTTAACTTTTCCTCAAAAATATTTTTTTTTTGAAAATTTTATTTTCAAAGGAAATTGATACTTTCAATTTTCTCTAAAATGTTTTTGAAATTTTTATTTTTAAAAAAAATTTATACTTTCAACTTTTTCCAAAAATGCATTTTTTTTCAAAAATATTTTTTTTTTGTTTTTGGAATTTTATTTTTAAAAAATCATTAAAAAATAAAATAAAATAAAATAAAATAAAAATAAAGATAAAATAAGGAATTCAAAATAATTCTAATATAATAATAATAATAATAATTAATTAAATATATATAAAAAACCTTGAAACGGCTCAACTCGGGTCGAAAAACGGCTCAGCTTAAGACATAAATCACGGCTCGAATGATGCGGCTTGGTGGCTCGGCTCAACTGAAAAGGTTGACTGAGGCGCGGGTCGAATCTGGGTCAGAAGCGGGTTGACGTTACAGGTCGAGTCGCCCAAATGGGAACACGTGGATCCTAAAATTTTCTTAAGCGCAAAACAATGTCGTTTTGGAGAGCTATAAAAGGTAAATACCTCCGCTCTTTCTCCATATGCTTTTTAATTTCTCTCTCTCTTCCCTTCCTCTCTCTCTTCCCTTTTTTTTCTTCTCCTTCTCTCTATTCGAACCCAGATTTCGGTTGAAACTTCGTCAGAATCTGGCAAAACTTGTCGAAAACTTCAAATTTGATCGAAAAAGTCGTCGAAAAATTCGTTGGATTTTGGAAAATTTTCGGACAAAAGACTTCAAAATTTCTAAAAAAAAAATTCTCACAAATTCCTAAAATTATTTCTAACACACTATAACTCTTTTTAACTTCTATTTCTTCCCTCCCTTTGTGTGTGATCTCTATGGATCTATTATAGAGATTGATCAGAAGAGTCTCAATTCCCTCTTGGATTGTGATTCAATCTTTTAATCAAATCTGGACTTTGATTTAATCTTAAATTCACGATAAAATTTTAACTTTTTCTAATCAATATCCTTTAATCCCAGCCAAAGAAAAAAAAAAGATAAATAATAAATATATACATATATATACTAATAGATAAATAATAGATAATAGTTAATAATAAAAATTTATATACATTAATAGATAAATAACAATATATATTAATAGATAAAAATATATATATTAATAAATAATAATAATAGCAATAAATAAATAAATAAAAATAAAAAATAGGCTTACCTATTTTGACCATGCCCAATTGATCCAGGCTTTGACCAAATCGAGTGTCTATAATTATCTTTCTATATATTTAACTAAAAAATATAATACGAGTTTAAGTTCTCTCAAATCTATAATATTCAAGTACAAACTCTAATAACATGTTAATTGATGCAAAGAATAATTCGTAAAAATTAAAATTTAAATTGATAACATGTGCGAATCTATATCATGTATTTAAATATTGATAGTTAAATTTTTAATTTTATAAAAGAATTAAAAAGTTGATATATTTATTATTTTTAATTATTAATTTTCTTTAAATGATATGTGTTGCATTGTTAATCATACTTATTAAATATAGAGCTTTATTGATTGATCATGCATGATATAATTTCTCTATAAAAAGTTATAAAACCAATGTATCAAATTAGACATATAACTTATTATAAGTTATGTTAGGTTGGGAGGTATTAAAGGTAGATAAATGTAAAAGATAAAATTTCAATTTAATTATAATTTTCCAAAAATATTAGTATAATAATTGTTTTTTATTGGATAAATTGTAATTTCATTAATCTAAAAAAAAAGAGATTTTTGCGACCATCCATCATAAAAAAACAAACACACTAAAAATTATCAATTTAACAACAATTTAGTATAAAATAATATTATACAATTTAGCAACTTACACATTGCTATGGTTTATCACTTTATTATCTAATATATATAGTTAAATGCTCAATTAAGGATTTAATATTTGCATATTTTATTAATTAAATATTTCAGCTTTAATTTGGTTTAATTTAAGATATAACATTTTTGAATTTATTCAAATAAGGATTAAGTTACGGTTATGGTTTACATGTGTCATTAAATCCATTTTTTGTTAACATTTCCTGTTAAAACCATTAACTTCAATAAAAAAAAAAACACAAAAATTGAGTACAATAGCAATTGATAATAAAATATAAAGGCAAGAAACAAAATTAAGCATAAAAATTAGCCTTGAACAATCAAGCAAATGAGGCTAAATAGTAGCAATTCATAATCATAAGCCATTGAAAAGCAAGAAATTTGGGCAAAGTTTATGAATCTTTGAAAGGGTTGAAAAATACACACTAAAGCAATTGTTTTGATAAGCTTTTTGGGCTAGGGATTGTTGGGCAATCAACAAAATCAGCAATTAGCAACTAACCTTAATTGAGCAATTAATCAAATAAAAAGGTTTTAATACACAGAAGCAGCCATAGCAGCAAGATTTAAGAATTCATCAACAAGGGTTTTTTTATTTTTTTTTTGGGTTTGGTTCTTTTAGGAATTTTTAGGTTTTAACATAGAGTTAGAAAAGGGAAGAGGTGTTGATCAATTGATAGTGTAATGAATGATGAATAAGGCTTTATTTTGGCAGTAAGATTTTGTGATTCTTGAGCTCTTCATTTTTATGTTGTAGTTGGGTATTGATTTGAAGATTTAAAGAGAGAAAAATGTAGCAAAAGGGTTGAACCAGAGATTCTAATTTCAATCATGAATAAGCTGCGTTGCTGGTGAAGGGCAAAGATCGACGGTGATTATTGATGGCAAGATTGATGGATGAGAGGTTGATTTTTAAGTGCTTGTTCTTCAATTAGAAAAAAAAAATAGAGAAGGCAAAGTTTGCTTGAGAAAAAAAGTTGGAGGAAAAAAAGTTTGCTTAAGAAGAGAAATTGAATAAAGCAAAGTTTATAGCTATTTCTACCGTTCATTATGTTGTAGAACAATGATTCACGCTATTTTTTTACATGCGTAAGCCATAACCATAACGAAGACTTTATTTGAACAAATTCGAAAACATTATATCCTACATTAAAGCAAATTAAAGTTGAGATTTTTAATTGAAGCACATGCAAACATTAGATCTTTAATTGAGCATTTGGCCAATATATATTACAACAATAAAAAATATGTTTCAAAAGGTAAAACAAACATGAATGCCCTTTTAACACATTTCAAATATCTCATAAATTTTAAATATGAAAAAGTCACAATTGGTAAAAATAAAAAAATTATCTTTTCAATAATCAAAAAAGGCAAATAAATCTCAGCTAAATTATGAACTAATCTATAAATTCAAATAAAATTCTTTATTCATTTTATCTTTTTAAAAAAATAAAAAAGAAAAACAAAGTCACTAATTAATTATTGAGATTTATTTCATTTTTTTCATTAAAATCTTTATTATTAAACCAAAATTATAACGCAATGATAATATAATAAAAATACAGTTTTATAATTGAAAAAAAGAAAAAAAAATACCTTTATTATATGAGAGATCATAAATAACCCAAATAAAAAACAGTGGTCAAATAATCATTAAAAAAATTCTAAATTTGATGAATGAGAGAAATTATTTTTTCAATAACAAATGCAAAAAACATAAAGGAATTTGGAAGAAGAAAGAGATAAAAGAGTTATGACCTAAAATTTGGCAATCAATATCCATTTAAGAAATCACTTATATGGATGAATGTACTTACTAAACCTTTCAAAAACCCAAAATACTAGAAGACCTAAATCCAATAAAGCAAAGTAATATATATATATATATATATTTTAAATAAATTCAATTAAAAATGACTTATAATTAAAATTGATAGATGAAATGAATGAATTTTTATAGAAAAAATACTTATTTGAATACAATAGGCAAAAAAAAAAAAAATTTTAATTGAAGTCTCAATATTATTTTTTAACTTAAAAAAAAACCATGGATTTAACAATTTCTCTTATGGTG